GGCGTGATGGTGAGAAAGATGGGTAGGTGCCTGGACATAATGCCACCCTTTGCTGGGGCTGGCCTGGCAGGAAGGGGGCTGAGTTCAGGCTCTCTTGGCTACTAAAGGCCCCATCAGGCATGAGCATCTTGTGAAAGGGGAACAGAGTGGTGTGGGAAGGCCATCCTCTGTTCATGTAACAATGACATCTCGCTGCGGTGTGGTCAGGGCCCACGTCAGAAGATGTCGGCTGCCTGAAGCTGTTGGGAGGCCTCACACCGTGGTGTGCCTGCCCACCTGCCTGGTCACTACTGGCTTTTAGGCTCTGCTTCCTCCCAGAGCCCAGACCCTGGTGGAATCCTCAGGCCCAGCGTGATTCCAGAAGCAGCACAGCATGCTCAAAGGCCAGACTTCCCCTTTGAGGCAGTTCCAGGTTGGGGGGTGGTGCTCTGCCACCCAAGTGAGCTTCATTTAGAGACCTGGTGCCCATCTGAGGCAGAGGAGGCTCTGGATGGCCTGCTCCTGACTTTCAGGTTCTGAGATCAAACCTAAAGGTGGGGTAAGGTGCAGCTGTGTCTCTGCAGGGTGCTGGAGTTGGGTCCGGCACTGAGTCTCGCTGTTCTCTGATTTTGTTTGTGTAGACATTGCTAATCGTCTTGATCTCGAGAGAGAGGTATAACCTGTGGTGTGGCTAAATCAATGTCATACAATATTTTGCAATGGAAAATATAACAAATTCATGAATTTTTTAAAAAGGCAGAGTAAGTAGAGTTTTGTTGCTGAACTTCAGACTTTAAGGCTATAAAATTCGCTGGTGAGAAAATGGCTTCTATTCTCAGCTCTGCCACCTGCTGGCTGTGTGACCTTGGGCAAGTTGCTTAACCTCTCTGGGCCTCAGCATTTTCTTCAGTACAAAGGAGGTAATACCACTACTCATTTCATAGGATTTTTAGGAGGATTTTATGCAATAAAACATGTGAGAGGCCTTAACCTAGGGCCAGGCCCATAGTGTTTTAATAAATATATATCATTATTATTAATAGTACTAGTAATCCAGATATTTCCTTACTGAACCATAAAATGAGCCAGTATTTTTTCAGGGGCATAATAAAGCAGTTTAAATCAAAGCAGAAGCCATACGCTATCTAAAATTGTCACAAAGCAGCTACCTTAGTAAACCCTGAGGACCAGCTCTATGCTGAGCATGGCCCTGTTATTCCTTCTACACAAAGTCTTTTCTTATCCTCAGTTTATTAATAAGGAAAAAAAGGCTCAGAGACGCTTGGTCACTTGCCTGAGTTCCCACAGCAAGGACCCACAGCTGGTGCAACCTCTTCTGTCATTATAAGGACCTGCTACATCTATTGAAGCAGAGTAGAATCTGATGATGACAGGGCTTCCCCATCCAAACTGAACTACGTCTGTGCACAGCTAATAGTGGGGTACGCACACTCGGGCACCCACAGGTGGTCACGGGGAGCCTGCCATGGGAAGGCCTAGTCAGTGTACCTACCTGTCCCTGGCTCCCCCACACCCCTGTCCTGCCCTGGCCAGCACAGCAGGGAGGCATGTGGCCCTCATACGACCTGCTCCCCCAGCTCCCCACCCAGCTCGGACGCTGGCCTGCAGCTCCCAGACAGCAACAGCCTCCTGCAGACCCCGCGCTGGGATGAGCCGCAACGGGTGTGCGCCCTGGAGCAGATCTGTGGCGTGTTCCGGGTGGACCTGGGCCACATGCGGTCCCTGCGCCTGTTCTTCAGGTAAGAAGCATCTCTTGGTGTGGCCTGGAAGTCGGCCTGAGTGACTCTTCCTGGCTGTCAGGGCTTCATACCCTGCCCTGTGTGCTGAGGCGGGGTCCTGGCTGCTTTGGCCAGTGCCAGTCTTCCTGACGTCCACATCCTGCTATCAACCCTGACTCGCAGGGTTCTCGCTGTGGCAACCTCACAAGAACCAGGTCAGGGTGAGCTACCTTCAGGGGGATAGTAGCCAGCCCTTGCTGGGACCCCAGAAGGGCGCTTGCTACTCAGCCTCATGTGCTCAGACCAGGCCAGGGCTTTCTGGATGGAAGTGCCTTTCATAATGGGTGGACAGTCCTAGAGTCCTGCCATCAGGGTGGCCCAGCCACAGACCGCACCAGCAAGAAGCCTGTGTAGGCACATCCAGACCCAGAGCCAGTCCCAGCCTCTCACCCGAGGGCTGGCAGCACTGATGACAGTGAGTTTCTGGCAGTCCCCACCCCCCGAGCCACCCACCGTGATGGACACACCTGCTCCCAGCAGGTTCTCCAAGCACCCACCCACTGCACTCACAGAGCTCCTGGGCAGGGGGTGATGTGGCAGGCAGGCAGTGATGAGGAGAAAGGGGCTCAGACAGGTCTCTAGAGAGCGACTCCAGGACTCCCCAACCCCCCAGGAGGGAGCTGTTCTACCTCTCTCCAGGAAAAGGGGTGATGGTTTCTGCTTGGCTGTAATAATTCTGTCCCCTCCACTGGGACATACTGTGTCCTGCCTCTGGAGGCAGTGGCCTCTGATTACCACTGGAAATAAAAACCCATATTTATATACTCCTCCGGCTTTCCTCTCCCCTCCCACGGCCCCTCAGCGACGAGGCGTGCACCAGTGGGCAGCTGGTGGTCGCCAGCCGGGAGAGCCAGTACAAGGTCCTGTACTTCCACCACGGGGGCCTGGACAAGCTGGCGGACGTGTTTCAGCAGTGGAAGTACTGCGCCGAGACACACCTCGGGGACCAGGTAGCCCAACGCCCCACCCGGCACACCATGCAGGGGCTCAGCACCTCCCAGCCGTCTCCTCCTGGGTCCTGTGGCTCCCAGGGTGTGGCTGGCGACGGCTTTCAGTTGTCTGTGGTCACTGGGGGGCTGCAGAGCAGCGATTCTGGGCTTGAAGCGAGTGCCCAGGGCTTCCCATGTAGTCAGTGCCCCGCGCTTGAAAAATCCTGTTTTGACAAGACTTCCTGCCATATTTTGCTCAATCTACATACAAATGTAATAAGAGCTCTTTAATTATCTGTTTAAGATACTGTATGTGGTTATTAGAAACGGGCTGACTTTAAAATTCCTTCCTTCCCACAGAGCCTCCTGCCGGCTCCCCTTATTACGGTAGCATGGCTTTTTTTCCCCCTACATTGCACAACCTTTGATTTTTGAATTAAATGTCAGCTGCAGTTTCGCCCTGGATTCGTGACTGCTCGTGGAGACAATCTGACAGGCCGGCTCCCTGCCCGCAGAACAGCGATGCCTTTGTATGTGGCCAATCACATGTAATTTATTGCAGGCTCTCCCGGCAGAGGGAAGTTAGGCCCGTAAGAGGCATTAATTCCGTTTTTTTTTTTTTTTTTTTTTTGCGGCCAGGATCGGGGCGAGAGTGGGGGTGGCTGTCGCAGTGGGCTGGGGAGAAGGGAGCACCAAAGGGAATCGGATTTTAAGATGAAGGTATTTTCATTTTAATTGCGCCTAATTACGCTTGCCATTTAGGGGTTTGCATGCCCCCCTCCCCTTCTTTCAGAAGAGAGTGAGGCTTTTAAATCCTGGGAAAGGCACTGCTGGCTCCCAGAGCCGTGAGTGTGAGATATTTACCTCTGCCCAGTTTCCCTCCTGTCCGGCAGGTCGCCCCTGAAAAGACATGCATGCATTTCTCCATCCGGCGCCCCAAACTGCCATCCTCTGAGACGCACCCTGAGGAGAGTATGTACAGGAGGCTGGACGTGTCCACCTGGCTTGGCCACCTGAATGAGCTGGGCCAGGTGGAGGAGGAGTACAAGCTTCGCAAGGTGAGGCCCGGCCTTCCAGCCACCTCTCGGGAGGGTCCCATCCCCTGTGTGCAGCTCTGTGCGAGCACATCGATAAAGCAATCAAAGCTGCTGCGTTGAGAAAAAACCCTCCCAACCAGGGTCGGGGATCCCGTGTCAGCCTGCATAGAAGGGGCTGCAGCATTTCCAAAACCAGGGATTAGCCCACGACGTGAGAACTACACGTTAATCGGAGTGCCACCCCAGGGGGGGCATTGACATTGAAATGAGCCGGGTTTGTGTCCTGTATGGGAATTGAGGGCCGGTGCTTTCCCCTTGTAAACATGTGCAAATTGCAGAGGTTTGAATCCAGGCAGCACCAAAGCCACCAAAACACACATCTTCTGGGGATTCTTTGGGGGTTCTTTGAGCTGCCCCGTTTTATCCCCTCCCCAACTTCTGCCGCTTCCTCCAGGCCATTTTCTTTGGCGGCATTGATGTGTCAATCCGGGGGGAGGTCTGGCCCTTCCTGCTGCGCTATTACAGCCACAAGTCCACGTCGGAGGAGCGGGAGGCACTGCGTGTGCAGAAGCGAAGGGAATATTCTGAGATTCAGCGGAAAAGGTAACGGCCAGCATGGCAGGGCCCACCGAGCTACAGGGGGAAATGTCATTTGAAAAGGCAATTTGAGGTGCGATTCAGCGCCGATAATACATTTCGTGACCCATAGTTTCTTTGAAAATGGGTCTTCCAGGAACGTGAGTGATAGGGTGGGTAAGTGCAGTCATTATGCCAAGCACTTGGGCTCTCAACTGCCGGGCTCGTTAGCTCACATGTCAAGGTTTGTGAATTCTTATTCAAAAGACTTAACTAGGCACTGACATCCCCCAGCTGAAGGCTGGGCTGGGAGCAGGGCCTCGGAGGAATCAGAGTCAGGATGGCCCATCCCACTTGGACTTTACCAACCTGGGCTGCGGTCAGCTCTTCTCTCTGGGAGGCCGGGTCGGGTGAAGCCCCCGTTACCCACTGGCTGTGCCCACCCCACCTCCGGGACCCTGGTATGGGGCCCAGACTTCATTACCCATGGGCCACCGCAATTACCTCTCCTCTCTGGGCCACTGGGGCCTGTGAGGCAGGGTTAATTTGGGGGAAGCCTTGGATAAACACCACCCACCCGCGTCAGTGGGGGTCTGCCAGCTACAGCAGGGCCCAGGGGCTGGGAGAGAAGGCCCCTTCCTGGAGTGGGTGACTCACTGCCTCCATGTGCTGCCGGGCCGGTGCTGTGCCCGCAGGCTGTCCATGACTCCCGAGGAGCACAGGGTGTTCTGGCGCAGCGTGCAATTCACCGTGGACAAGGACGTGGTCCGGACAGATCGGAGCAACCAGTTCTTCCGAGGGGAAGGCAACCCAAACGTGGAAAGCATGAGGTACTCGGCACCCAGCTCGGTACTCGGCCCAGCCCACCCTCCCATTTCTCCCCCATCTGCAAGTCTACCAGCCTGGCCTGGCTCCTCTGGGAAGTGGACTGGCCCCGAGGCAGCTTGGCATGGGGGCTTCCTTCCAGGGCCATGGAGGCAACAGCAGGGGAGGAGGATAACCCAGTGGCAACCCAAGGACTAGGCCTGTAGCCACACAGGTTCACCCCCTCCCCGGGGTACCAGCAAAGACCCTCTATCCCCGGGCACCTGCCAAGCCCGTCCTTGGCTGGCTCACACTAGCTGTGGACGAGCCTCCCCATGGGTGGTCTTCCAGTGATCTAGTCACTCAGGGCCGGAGGCTGGTATCTTGCATTCTGTTGCAGCCTGGCAAATAATTGCCCAAAATTAGCAGCTGGTAAAAACATCCCTGCCAGTCTATCTCTTGTCACAGGCAGTTGACCCTGAAGAAAATGAGACCGACATTCTTCCTTACCCCCTGCTCTTGAGGCTCTGGGCCTAGAGAGCCGCTAATTGCAGGCCATTACCTTTGCAAAGCAGGGTCTGTGTCTCTGGATCCCAAACTTGAGCTCTTAGGCAGTCACAGGGCCTCCAGAAGCCTGCTGGCCAACGCTGCCTCGCCACCCTCACCCCTACCCCTGAGGTCTGCGGACCTGAGCAGCACATCGGGTGAGGCCAGGAAGGGCAGGGGGTCCTCACCACCCTCTCCTGCCTCCACTGTCCCCCAGGAGGATCTTGCTCAACTACGCCGTGTACAACCCGGCTGTCGGCTACTCCCAGGGGATGTCAGACCTGGTGGCACCCATCCTGGCCGAGGTCCTGGACGAATCGGACACCTTTTGGTGCTTTGTCGGTTTGATGCAAAACACGATCTTTGTTAGCTCTCCTCGGGACGAGGACATGGAGAAACAGCTGGTGAGGCTGGAGGCCAGTGGTCTGTGTGTCTGAGGGCACCTTGAGAGGGCATGCTGCCCCCTCCTCTCGCTAACGGGGTCTCCCTGGTGTTGTGTGGCTTGGCTGCCGCGGGTCAGTGGGCAGGGCCTCTAAGGGTGGCCGGCGCCCCACCTCCCTGCACAGATGACCAGCCAGGCTCCCTGGCAGGGCAGGGAAGGGAAGGCCCCAGCACCCTTGGACCTGAGTCCTCAGGTGTGTCTGGGCTGCTCCTGCAGGTGTCCAGCGCAGCTGAGGCTCCTGAGGCCCCAGGGCAGTTCTCATACCCACAGCTGGCCTTCTGGGGGGTGCCTAACTGGCACCCCTCACCTCAAGATTGCCCCACAAGGGTCAGCCCTCTGTAGACAGGCAGCACTGAGTGTTGGAGGGGGTGAGCTGGGGGTAAAGGGGTCCAGCATGTGGCCCAGGGACCAAGTCAGGGCACTGCACATCCTGTGTATGTACCAGACACCTGGGTCATGGTCTTCCTCTCTGACCTGGGAGCTGGCAGTGTGAGTGGAAGATACCAGGTGCCTGAGAGTGATGCAGAACGTGCCATGATAGATGGCAGGGCCCCTGGGCTGGGGCTGGTCCACGGCATGCAGGATCTGGCTCTGCCTCAATAAGGCTAAGCTGAGCGAGTGCTCCGGGGGCTGACACTGAGTGACCTGGTCTTGCTAAACCAGATGCATTGTGCAGCCTGCATGGAAGGCTAGGAAGGCCCAGGGCCCTTAGAGGCCTCTGAGGGCTTAGCAGGGTTGCTGACCACAGCAGAGAAGATTTGAGGGCCGGGAACCGTGAGGTGCAGGCTAGAAGCTGGGGGCACCTTGGCAGTGGCTTTGAGTGGGGCATCTGTGAGGGGGACTAGCTGCATGTGTGGCCTTGGCCTTGCTGGGGACTGCAGTGGGGAGAACTGGCCAGTTAGGAGGAAGCCTCACAACCCATTCCTACGAGGGGACTGGGGCTCTAGCAGCTGTCTCGAGTAGGGAAAGAGACCATTCGTGTGGGAGGGTGATGTGTGGCCACTGGGCTGTGCCCTGAGATTCCCCGGGGTGCCCCCAAATACAATCTGACCCCACCTGGCCACGGGCTGACTGCAGCCTGCTCAGTCTGTGTCATCCTGGGTCTGTGTGATAGCAGGTTTCCATGGTACCTGGCGAGGCAATCACAGGGTCTGACGCCATTCACCCCAACAGGCTCACGGCAGCGCATGGCCAGGTGACTCATTAACTGCCGGAGACTAATTTTCCAGTGGCTTTGGTGAAGTCAGCACCCTGAGCCAGGGTTCTGCCAGAAATAGCCCCAGTCTTGTCCCATGTCATTGGGAAGTGACCTCAATCACAGGAATCAAGAATCCTGGGGCTGAGATGCACCCCCTTGCTCCCCTAAATCAGTTCTGGAAGAGGATAATCTTCATGGTCAGATCAAAAGGGGCTGGACCAGGGGCCACTGGATTATCTGCTCGCCTGCCCAGGAGGGGTGGACAGTGGAAATAGCCCCCACGTGTTCACCCATAGGCAGCAGGGCCCTGGGCTGGGGCTGGTCCGTGCTGTGTGGGGCCTGGCCCTGCCTCACCAAGGCCAGACTGAGCAGAGCTTCCAGCTCTGGAGTCTTCCTGGTTGTGGAATGGTCGCTTAGCCTCCCGGCCACACCAGGCTGCCATGCTCTGCCTTGCCCAGGGCCATGACATAGTCTCCAAACAGTCTTAAGTCTGGGACAACGTGGCAAGGATGGGGGCGAGCCACATTTCAAGGGCAGGACGAAATAAGCAGGTGGGGCTGCTTGCATGTACTTTTCTGGTTGGGGCGGGGGTGGGGTGGGGTGGGGGGAAGGAGGAAGCAGGCCCCTGAGGCAGGGGCTGACACAGCCCGGCCTTGTCCTCAGCTGTACCTGCGGGAGCTGCTGCGCCTGACACACCTGCGGTTCTATCAGCACCTGGTCTCGCTGGGCGAGGACGGCCTGCAGATGCTCTTCTGCCACCGCTGGCTCCTGCTGTGCTTCAAGCGGGAATTCCCAGAGGCCGAGGCTCTACGGATCTGGGAGGCCTGCTGGGCCCACTACCAGGTGAGCCCGGGCGGCATGGCTGGGACCGCAGTCTCTGACCAACCCTCAACTGCCTGTGCCCACCCCGTGGGAAGGGCCTTGCCCCGCCCATCCTAGCCAAGTGTCAGCCCTTTACAGCATCTGCTTCCAGCCCCACGTGGCTGACTTCAGACCACAAAGCTCGCCTCCCAGGGAACTGAAATCAATGCAGATTGCCCACCGACTGTGCTCATTACGCCTTTTGGGGCTGAGCTCCCTCGTGTCACAACCAATCAGTGTGAGCAACACCATCAGGGGGGCCAGAACAAGGCTATGGCAGCCCAGGACACTGGGCCCACAAGCTGGGGCCACAGCTGCTTGTCCACCCCGAGGACTGCCCTGCCACGGAAGTCCAGCTCACTATCACCCTCCTGCATGGGGAAAGGGCCTGAAATCCTGCTTCCCTGACATTTCCCCTCACCGTCCACTGTCATCAGTGTCTGCTGGACAAATCCCCCTCCAGCACAGCCCTGCTCTGTCACAGGGCTTTAATGCCCAAATTAGGCAGAAGCTGGTGGTGTTAAAGGATAGGCAAGTCTCTTTGAATCCATCAGCCTTTTAAAAAAGTAGTATTGATGCATCCAGGGGGTGAGACCTTTTCTGCAAGAGTGGCTCCTGCAGGTGAACCTCACAGAGAGCTGTGGACACCCACCGGCCTAGAGAAATTGGCATCAGCATGCCTCATCCTTACTGAGGTCTCAGGGGATTATGTCTGATAAGAGTGAGTCTGAGGAATGTGATGCTGGGGACACAAGTTGTCCCGGGATTTACTCGCCCTGGCCTGGGTTAGCGACAGAATGAAGTGATGCATTTCCCACTTGGATTAAGTGCTCCTCGTGGATGTTCAGGATGAAACGGTGGCCTGGATGGTCCAGAACGCTGGATCACCAAAGAAAAGAAAAATCGCACCTCACTCCTTGTTCTTCCAGCAGCAAATGTGTCACTCTCACCCCTTTATTTTAGGCTGTTACAAGTGAACTCCGAGCACCACCCACTGACCGCACTGTTTCTCATGGTGATGATCATTGCTGCTCTCTATCTACAGCCAAAGTTTAATGAAATCCAGTAAAAATTATAGGAGGAGGCCCATGTGCCCGTCTCTGATAGCTACTGCTTTCATTAAAGCAAGTGGTTTTCAGATTGTGGGCTAAATGCAGCCACATTTGGTCCCATGATCAGATCAATCATGCTTGGGGAGTGCTAGGATGATGGTGAGAGGGAGGACAGTTAGCCAGGAGGTGAGCTGGGTAGAAGGGTTGGTCACTGCCAGGCAATGCTTTTAACTTTGCAGTGACCCCTGAGTGAGAAAAGGTCCAATTCTACCTGTTACTGCCAGGTTGCTGCATGCCCTGCTCTGTCAGTGTGCTCCTGCTTGTCTCTTGACGAATCGCAAAGTGGTGTCTGGGGCGTGTTCAACCTGGAGGTGGGAGGGCAGGCTGACCAGTGGGTGGCAGCCAGAGGCTCTTCCTTGGGGACATAGTCCATGACCCAAGCCTTCTGCATACACCATCTCTCAAGATCTTCACAAATGACTTCCATGTGAGAGCAGACCAGTCCAGAAGGGCGGGTCTTTGCCCCCATCGCAGGGACCACCCAAATCACTGCCTGAAAGAGTCCCAGCAGCCCCCAGGTGCTCGGCTCAGCCATCATCCCCTCTGGATGTTGCAGCAGCCTGGGCATGTAGGTACCCAGACTGGTCCTATTCACAAGTGGGGAAACTGAGGACCAAAGAGGATGGCAGCCTGCCCAGGGCCACCAGCGGCAAGCTGGGCTCTGAACCCAGACACGTGGCCTTGGGGCCCTCATCCAGCACCTCTGCACTCAGTCTCCCTCACGAGGCAGGGCCTGGGGTTTGGCCAGAGCCCTTATCTGAACTCACTCCCCCACCACAGACGGACTACTTCCACCTATTCATCTGCGTGGCCATCGTGGCTATCTATGGGGATGATGTCATCGAGCAGCAGCTGGCCACTGACCAGATGCTCCTGCACTTCGGAAACCTGGCCATGCACATGAATGGGGAGCTGGTTCTCAGGAAGGTGAGCCCGGACCTCACGTGTAAGGTCCCGCCCCCATCCATCCTGCCCCTTGGATGACACGGATTCCTGTCATCTCATTTGCATAGCCCCGCTCCACCTGCAGAGGCCACGCCTCCTCACATGCAGTCCCGCCCCCACGTGCCCCGCTGGTGCTTCAGCCCTGCCCCCACCCACAGCCCTGCCTGGAAGCTCCTCATCTAGGCCCAGTGTCAACACCCTTGCAGCTTCTCTGGCTTGGTGATGTCAACACAGCTGTCCTCGTGCCTTTCAGGGGTGCTATGGCTGATCAGACCCCCCAGCACAGGAGCCTCCCGCTCCACCTGTGGAATGGACAAATTCCTGGGGCTGGTGGATAGGTTCTCTTTAACCTTGGGGGGCAGCTTCTCACCCAAGGCCAGCTGATCCAGGGGACCTGGCGTTCTTGCCACCTCAGACTCTTCCCAGAGATGCTGCTTGTCAGAGTTGTCTGCTGGCCCTCAGGGGCAGTGAACAGGGTTCCTGGGGACAATGGGACCACCTACACAGGACACCTGAAAACAGCCTGCAGGGCCTGAGAACAGGGACCCTAGGGCAGAGCTCCAGGGGCTGATTCAGAGAAGGATTTTGCCAAGGGGCCAGGCGGGGCCTTACTGCCCCTTCAGTTGAGGGCTTTGGGTGTCTTCTTCACCCTAAGCCACATGTGAGTGCCACCCTGGGTCCTCTCGCTGTAGCCACAGGAGACTGAGGCTCCTGCACACTGGTGTTGATGTGGGACGGAGGGCAAAGCCCTGGGGCCTGAGCCTGCAACACAGTGAACCTGCAGGTGTCAGTGGTGGCAGCTTCTGAGCTGGGCCACTCCTGTGGGGACCCCTGGCCACCAGGCTGTCCCTCTGCCTCTCCTAACAGGCTTGCTTCTCTCATTCCAGGCGAGGAGTTTGCTTTACCAGTTTCGCCTTCTGCCCCGGATCCCCTGCAGCCTGCATGACCTGTGTAAGCTGTGTGGAACAGGCATGTGGGACAGCGGGTACATGCCTGCCGTGGAGTGCACTGGCCAACACGCAGGCTCGGAGAGCTGTCCCTATGGGGGCACAGTGGAGGTGCCTTCACCCAAGCCCCTGAGAGAATGCATGAAGAGCCCAAAGGCACCCCGGGAAGGCTTCGGTTTCCGCAGATAGGGTGGGCGCCCCACTGTGCAGGGGTGAAGGGGCCTTGCTGTAGGTCCTGGGCATGGAGGGGACAGATGGAACAGACAGGGGACAGTGGAAATGAGAGGAAATGCCTTTGGGCAATGTGAAGGGAATCTTTTCATAGTAATGACAAAGTCAGAGTCTGGAAGTGACAGCAGCAAGGTCTACCCCACCCTAGATAGGCCAGCCCCAGGGACCTTGGGTCCGGGACGCACAGCCGCTCCACCTGGGGTGCAGGCTGCCTTGGATTCTATTCTGGCTGCCTTTGGAGGATTTCAACGTGTCCCAAGAGTTCTTCCCACTTCGTGGCAAACACACGGCACTGCCAGGCACCAGGAAGGGCAGAGACAGGAGAAGAAGGCCTTGTTCACCCACCAGCACTGAGGGCTGCAGAATGGAGGGGTCTGTTCCAGGCCCAGAGACATCTTTGCAAACCAAACGAATGCGCCCACAGTGGTGACATCAGCATGTGTCTGATGCAGCGTCTGCCCGAAGCAAAGGAAAAGTCCGATTGATTTCAGGATAGAGGAGCATGGGGCTTTTAACACTGCCCCTTTACACATTCCCTGCGGGTGTCATGTGAAAGGTCCACCTGCTGCGAGGCTGGCCCCAGGTGCTGGGGAACAGCAGAATTCTGCTCCCTTAACCAAGGGTCCTCCATATGTGGTTTTTTAGCATTGTTTAAGGTCATCCTCACCAGATACAGCAACCGACTGGGGGCTAAATGGGTCAAGGTTTGTGTGTGTGCGTGCATGTGTACGTGTGCCAGATGCCCCGAAGAGAATCTGCTTTATCCCAGGACATAGTAGTGAATTAACTGACCAGCCAAGATAAAGGCACCTGCAGTCAGACAGACTCTTCACTTCCCCGCAGGGCCTGCATGCTCTGTCATGAACATGGGTGTTTTAGAAGTCAGCTTCTCAGGGGGTCAGACACAAGAGCTACTACAGTAAAGTAGCCAGCACTCAGGGCTTTCTGCTTTCTGCGCGGGAAGAAACCACCTCTACAAGGTCCTCCCTCGTATCACACTCCTGCATCCAAAACACTACATATCACTTGCTCCTTCTGGGATGTAGAGACGGACAGACGAAGGCATGTGAACTATGGTGTTAGAGTGTCCAGCTAACTAAAAAGTGTCAAAGCCATTTACATGGAAAGTCATAAACTGAGTCCCTCCTTGCACCTGCCAGCATGTCTTTCTGGGAGAGAAAAGTTCTTGTCCTGCTGAGAATCATCCTGGGACAGAGATCAAGGGTTTCCTCCTGTTCTCAGCCTTTCCCACTGAAGGGTGGCGCTGCCGGACAGTGCCACTTTGGAAAGATGTCTGTCACCCAGGAAGGGGAGGTGACCATGTGCCAGCCTCCTCCTCCCCAGCTTCTCTTTTCTCCATGAACCTACGCTCTCCAGGAGGCACTTCTGACTCCGGGGGTCCTTCTGTCCAAGAGCCTTTTGGGGAGACCGGTCCGGATCCCCTCAGTGACCAGCTCTTGGGGTTCTGGCCATTACAGTCCAGCACTGGGGGACCTGAGGGCGGCTGTGGGAGTGGACTTCTGGGGAAGGAGGGCTGCCCTTCTGTGTTGCTGCTGACCCTCCCCAGACCCACATCCCATGAACAGGCTATCAGCTGCCCACAGCCACACGCCCCAGAACTGAGTGGCCTACATCTGCACTTGAGCTTGCGTGTCAGCGTCTGGGCTGGGCTGGGCTTGCTCTCCCACATCTGCGGCCACCTAGCAGCTTGGTCCCTGGGTGCTGTGGGTCAGAGGTGGAAGTCTGGCTGGTCTGCACACTCCTGCATCCCTCCTGCAGGCTGGTCCCGAGGACACAGAAGCAGAAACAGAAAAGTGCCACGTCCAAGCCTTGGTGGATACCACACCTGCGCCGTCCCATTGGCGAAAGCAAGCCAGGAGGTCAGACTCAGCATTAAGGGACGGGGAGACGGACCCTCCCCTTTAGCATTCTCTCTGCACAATCCTGTGGCAAAAGCTGAGGATTTGGAGGGGCAAAGGAGTAGGACCATCATCACCGTCAGTCTCCCACCACTGCCAAGCCTCGGTGCAGGTGACACTGTTCCAGAACTCTCCTTCCCTGGTGAGGCAGAGCATGTCCCTCACCCTGTCCAGCAGGACAGCATTCTTCTTTTTATTTTGTTCTCATTTGTTTCTCTGTAGGGGTTTTCTTTTCTATTCTTTTTTTTGTTTGTTTTCTTTTGGAGACAGTGTCTTACTCTGTTGCCCAAGCTGGAGTGCAACGACATCATCACAGCTCACTGAAGCCTTGGCTTAAGCAACCCTCCTGGCTCAGCCTTCTGAGTAGCTGGGGCTACAGGCGCTTTACCACCATGTCCGGCCAATTTTTTTTTTTTTTAGTACAGACAAGTTTTCACTACCATTGCTCAGGCTGGTCTCCAACTCCTGAGCTCAAGTGATTCTCCCGCCTTGGCTTTCCAAAGTGCTGGGGTCCCAGGTGGGCGCCCCACGCATAGCCTATCCCTGTGTGTTACTAGGTGCCTGTGCCTTTGGGCTGCTGTGTCTTGGGAATGGGGGGTGATGCAAACCCACTCACTCTGGAGGGCTGTGGGTGGGTTGTTCTGGACTCCCTGCTGCCACCTTCCTCGCCCCCCACCAGCCCCAAGACCTGACCAATCAGCCGTGTCTTGTGTACCAAATGCACCCCGGTTGCCACACCTGCCTCACACTCTACCACCCCTCCCGCCCAGGCCGGTGAGATCTGCACCTCTTGGACTGGCTGGGACCTCGGGTACCCAGACCAGGAATGCAGGGACAGTCCCAGGAAATGCTGCCCGGAGGGATGGGAAACCGCCACTCACACCACTCCCTTATCTGGATGCAATTAGAGGAAACCAGCCAAAAACCCTGCGGCAGCTGTTGCCCCGGGATTATTCCCAGCCAGCAAAAGGCATTAGGGTGATAATTCAGTCATTAGACTTCCAGCCTTCCCACCGCCAGGACGTGCAAATAGGGGGTAATCAGCCCTGCACGGCCGTCCTCGGCAACGCGGCTTATTTAACCCATTTTTTAAAATGACACTTAATGTTATTGGCTGTCGTACGTGTGCGCGCATACTTAAAAGTGGACGCGCAGTCTGGCGCCACTGCTGAGATCCGTGCTGACAGTGTGGCAGTGTCACTGGGGCCCTGGGGAGAGAGGTGCCTTGATGTGGGTGTGCAGGCACTGAGAGCAGCGTGGCCGGGCTCCTGGTGGGGCTCAGTGCTTGCTCTCCAGGACACCCACAAGGGAGAGACGGTGCTGGGGTCAGGTAAGCCCTCAGTGCTCTGAGCTGGAAGTGGGGAGCCTGCTATTCTCACCAGGGTGCAGAGGGGAATGGCTGCTATTCTGGTAGTTTCTGGCTCAGGTGCCAGCCAGGAAGACTCAAACTCACAAGAGTCATGGGCCAACTAGAGGGGGAGGGCCATAGCCCACCTTTGTGGGGAGGAGGGTCTGGAGTGGGGGACAGACAGCTCTGTTAGCGGCCTCGGACGTGGAAGCCATCGGCAGACAGTGCCGCGTTGTTCCTGAACCAAGGTGTCAGGCAAGGGGTAGGTTTATAAATCCAGGAGGGAGAACATGTCAGCCCCTTGTCCTGTGTTTTCCATGACAGCCCAGTCTGAAGCCCTGCCATGGCAGAGGACAGCTGGATAGGATGAGGATGCTGGTTCTGGCCTTTCATGGGTGGCCCCTGGGAGTGGAGGTGGTGGCAGGAAATGGGGTGGGAGCTCAGCTCTGAAAAGCCCCTCAGAGCTACCCTGTCTGCTTCCTGTTTGGCAGACATAACTCAGAGGGGGAGTCTCCCCTTATCCCTGCTGGGAGTCTGGGGGTGTCAGGGCCCCAGCCCTGGGCTCAGTGAGCAGAAGGAAGTACTTTCCCATGTGTCCGTCTTGTCCAGCAGAGGCCCCCATGGCCTGCTGGGCCTCCCAGGGGTCCTCTGGGAAGCATGCTCATGTGCAAGGATGCCAATGGGACCAGAGGGGCCAAAACTGGCTTGGCCCATCTCTAGAGTCCTTGGGGACAGCCCCGGGGTCTGGTTAATCCCCTGTCTCCAAGCCAGGCTGCAAGGCTGTCCTTGAAGTGAAAGCCTCTGCCTCAGGGTCTCCAGCTACACCTCTGCCCTCCTCCCCAGGTGTGTGGCCTTCTGCCTCTCCCAGCCTCAGTTCCTCATCTCTAAAGTCAGAATAATGAGGCTCTCCAGGCTGCCTCCTGGGACTGCTATGGGGACTGTGTGTGTGAAAGCTACCATGAGGTTTTTTACTAAGTCCTGGGGACCTCATCTGCCACTCAGGGAAGAGACCACTGGCCTTAGCCTTCTGCAGCATGGACCACGGGAGGTGGCACACCTGGATCAAAGAGCTCTCCCCTGGTTTGAGTTAGCAAGCCCAGTGCTCCCTGCCGCACACTCACCCTGCTGTGTGTCCTCAGCCCAGGGTAAGCCTCTCTGTGCCTCTACTGTAAAATTCACTCCATGCCACTCGCTCCTGCCATGAAGAAAAAGTGACCATGAAACCCATCCTCAGTGACCCCGTGGACCCAGTGTGCCTGTGTGTGCACTAGCAAAGCTCGCCAGGTCCCACCCCTGGGCCTTAAAGATCCCTGAGGCTGGTGCCCTGAACAGAGCTGTGGGTTATAAGCAGCCTGCAGGCACCTGACCTTTTACCTGTGTTGCATTGAATTTCCAGGTAGGTAGGTGGTAGCATTTCAAGTTCAAAGAGACATCCAGCACTTTGGGGGGTAAGGAAGTTGCTGTTTAAGAGAAAATGTCATGGAATTCCCAGCATTACCAAGAGATGACTGATGTCTGTGGTGAGGGATTTGTTCTCTGTATGGTTTTGTTTTTTAAATGTAGTTGCCTACTGGTCAGGCCCAGGACTGGTCACTGTGACCCCTGCTTGCCGGCTCTCAGACTTCAACTGTAGAGTAAATAAAACAGTACGGTCAAAGGTGCACACGGTATGATACCTCTAGAAGGTCCGATGGGATTTTCTGGGTTGGAACGTGGCAGCACTTGTGGTGGGCAGAGAGGGCCCCGTGGAGGAGCAAAGATGGCCCTGTAGATGTGTCCTGCCTGCCTGAGATAGGAGAGGGCAGGGTGCAAATGGGAGATGGTGTGGAGGCCTCTGGGATAGCAGAAGCCCACCCTGGGAGGCCTCGCCAGGCTGGGCCCAGCCATGGAAGATGACGGATGCTTAGCCTTCAGGGGGACAGAGGAAGGGGCGCTGGGAGAGGTGCCTGGGAGAATTCATGGAATGGGGAAGGGGCTGTTAACCGCTGAGCAACTGAGAGCCCCCGACTGGCCCCAGTGCCTGGAAACAAAAACAATATTTCATTGGGCCTTAACTGCTAGGGCTCCAGTTTCAGGAAAAGCCTGAGTCTTGCATTTGTGGCCTTTTTAAAGGAGAAAAACAAGGTGAATTTGACCTTGTTAGGGGTAGGAGTTAGAGGGAAAATTCAGGCTTCACCTCTAATGTCCAGGGCGGGCAGGTTATTCCCAGGTTTCCTGGAGCACTGCAGCAGAGTGGCAAACTCCAGCCCTTAATCTAAGCGCCCTTGGGGACTTTGAGCTGTTTTTAACCTTGGGTTGTGTGTTTCCCTCCCTTTTTCTGTGGGGAGTGGAGGGAGAGTGTTTTAATTCTCATCTGTACCACTGGGGTCTCATGTCACCTCCCGCCCACCTGGCCTTGGCTTAGACATCTGAAGGCCTCATCACCCCCTCTCTGAATGCCAGGAGCGTCTCTGCCCTAGGCTGGCTGGGCAGGCGCCACAGGGCCAGGCCCCAGAATGCCCAACAGGCTTCTCCCAGGAAAGATGCCTGAGCTGGCACCACGTGCACAGGGGAGGCGTCTGCACCTACACATGGTGGGGCCTCTGTTTTCAGACATCTCCATCCATTTGGAAGTGGAAAGTGCTGCTTCCCCATCATGCCTGGGAATCAAGCCCTGGCTCTAACCGTGGAGTGTGAAACACCACGATGACTGGAGGGAGATGAGGGCCTGGGTGCTCAGCAGCTCTGCCCTGTCATCCCTAAGGCACAGGGGTGGCAGCAACGGGAAGGGCGTGACTGTCTTAAAGGGTTGGGGGCAACTGATCCCCGAGAAGGGATACCCCCCAGGTCTGAGGCCCATCACGACCCTGCCTGGGGGCACCAACTGCACCTGTTCCCACCAGCTCCCTGGATGTGGCCCAGACAGGTGCAGCATCGCATCCAAGTGCTTGTCTCTGCTCTGCTCTGGTTCTCCCTGGGCATCACCAATGCCCGCGTGCGGGGAAAGCTTGCCTTTTGCAGTGCAGCTGGGCAGTGTGTGCGACACAGCATTTACACACAACCAGCAGCAGAAAGTCCACCCGGGTCTTGTTCACACCAGAGAGAGTGTTCTGCCCATGGCCCTTTCTGGCTGGGGTGCTTCCACATCATTCACCCATGCATACATCCCACTAGTACTGTCCCACGGAAGGCTCACTCCGGGAAGCAAGGCGGGAGCACATTGGGGTCACTTGGTTTCCAAGCAGACATCCATGGACACTGCAAAGCCACCCTGTTGGCCCCCAGGTGAGCTAACGGGGACCTCTGTGCCTTTGGGGCCAGCTGGGCTCCAGCTTCCACATGACTTTAGGCTCCCTCCTTTCTCCACAGGTGTGACTCTTCCTCCAAAGACTTGGGTGAGGAAGAAATGTGATTTACCTTATTTTATTTCAACCAAGTAGCATCCCAGTATGACTGCCTAGTCCAGTCCCGATTGTTACTGGTGTCTCTCCTCCACCCACCTGGACACACAATCAGCAGGGGTACAGGGGGTCTCTAGCCTGTCCCTCTTTTGTCACTGAGGTGCCTTTGTCCAAATCCAAAGGATCCCAGTGAGGGCTGGCCCTGCTGCATTTTAGGTTGGGGCTCTGCGCCCAGACACACCTGTATCTCGTCCCCCTGAGGGGTCTTCAGCATCCTAACCCCACACACGTGCATGACAGGAAGAGGAAGCCAGCCCCTCCCCCAGGTCGACTGTGTGGGCCTCTATTCCCTGCATCCCCCAGGACCTGCAGCCATGTTCACGTCCTCAGCTGACCGGAAGCCACTTGTCCTGACCTCTGGGAAGCATGCAGATTTTGGCATTCTGCCAGTTCAGAAACGATGGCTCCTCCTTAACCCACCTCCCCTGCCTCTGGTCCTCCT